TAGCCTATTTTTTCTTTCCAGTTACAAAGATTACATGTGCAGTGAATCTGCATATTCATGTCTTCTCTTTTTAGAGCTGCTGTGACTGACTAATGGAGGGATACAGATGTATGTAGAGAAAAATACCGCCTCTCTATGTAAAAAGCCGAGTTTAAATGTGCACAGAGGCACTTCAGTGCTGGAAAAATGGGTTAGAAGGAGCACAGGACACAGGAGGATGTTGGTACAACACCAGGCACTGCAGAAGTAATTGTTCCAAACACCCATTTTAGGCGCTCTGACACATACACAGTAGCCTTATTTAGTATCCAGTGAAATGGATTTTTCTGCTTTTAATGAAGACAAATTGGTGAAGCACAGAGCAGCTGAAGAAAGAAGAACTTGAGCTAAAGTAAGAAAATTGCTAGTGCATTTTTGTATACTGATACTTCTAATAAAATTTTAGCTGTAGACTAGTACAGAACTAGGAGAAAGATGTCCAATTTCAATTGTATTTATTTGAACCTGAAATTTATATTATTTTTATATAGCTATAGATGGAGAGGGAGGAAGAGCTGTTCTTTCACCAGAGTACGTCAGAAACAAGAAAGCCACAGTATCAGAGCCTGTTCTCCCACTATTGCATTCTTCTCTTCCTGAGTTAGTGGACAATCTAGGTGGAGCCAAGAGGGTTAAAACAGGAAAGCAGTGGCAAGGACAAAGTGCAGGAGCCCATGCTTTGCCTATGTAGAACTAATGGGAGACAAAGTAAATGCTTAGTATAGATTTCTATCACTGAGGAATACAGTTATCCAGAAGTGTCTTCTGAACAAATTGCCCAAGAACAGCAGAGATCTTATTTTGCTAGATAAATAGCATGTATATAGGCACATCAAAAATATTTTTATATGGCTAATATTTTTTTTTAAGAAAACCTTACTTTTTAAGAGGTATGGGCAATGTGATACTTTACTCTTTGGCACTTTAACTAGGTGATTTGTATGTGTGTGGAAAAGGTTTTCATGCTTGGGTTTGTTCCTCATCTAAAAGCTCCAACATGAAACGTTTCCTGTAGATGTGCAGAAGATGCAGAGATAGGGTTAAGCTCACTTTAGAGGCAAAGTACCACAACTGGCTGGGAGGTGGACTGATACCTCAGAGAGATACCCTGTGCACAGTCCCTGATCTTAAATTTGATGAATTTATAAATGTGAAACATGATGAACTTACAAAACACAGAGCATATAATTTCTACAGTAATTATAAGTAACCAGAACAGTTTTGATGGTGTGACCTGGTGGTTCAGCCTAGGAGGTGCACTGCTGTAAAAATAGCCCTAAGTCTAGTGAAACCAGTCAAGTTGTGCCTGTGTATGGAAAGTCAAAGTCTGTTTTAACAGTGAGTTTAACTTACTGTGGTCAGCATTTAAGGGATTGTATTTGTATTTTGAGTGCAACTGCAGAATAAATTAAAATAATGGATTCCAACAGGCTCATCATGTACCTTCTTCAATGCTTGTGCAGCCATATGTAGCATTTTTGGGGCGTTAAGTCTGATGATGTCGTTAATCTTTAGCTGACTGGTGATCTCTAATGATACCAGTTTGTCTCCTTAAATTTGAAAGCCATAAAGGATTCACTTAGAAACTTGATTTAGACTGAGGATAAGGCCCAACTGAAATGTCTTGAAAACTACAAGTAGGATTTTCTCAAGGCTTCAGTTCTAAATATGTATATACAGGAGTTGTTTTGTTTTTTTATGATGACCCCATGATTGTTGTGGAAGAACTTTATTATTTTGGCTTACTATTTTTTACCTTTTTGTATGTTTAAGAAGCGATCTATTAACTATAAACATTAAGTTAATCTGAAACACATGAGCATATAGCACTTGGCAGAAGGCATATAGGTTATATATCAGGCATATAAAAACAAGCTGCAACATGTATATTGACTTGTATTTAATTAGCATCTACAGAAACAAAGAAAATCTCTGTATCTCCTCTAGACCCTTCCTTTGCTTCTCTTACAAAGCTGGCACAAAGGCAGTAGAGTTCTGTAGCGTTTGACTTCAGTGGAAAGCCTTGTAGCTGCCTTCTCTTGCTGAGAAAAGGAACTGTCACCTCTGAACATCTGAGATACAGATACAATCTGAGATACAGCATACTCTTGCAGGGCATGTATCATGTCCTTCTGCAAAGTATGGTAGGGATAGGTATAGAGGCCACTTGGGATCTTTGGGAAATCCTTAAGGATGTTAATTACTAGAATTGTTAAAACATTGATGTTCAAATCCATTTCCTGGTGAAAGATAATAGAAAGATGGGAGAGATTTTAAACCTACACTAAGTATTAAATGTTCTCTAGAAAATAATATATCCTAAAGTCCTAAACTGCAGTTTATAATTCATTCAGCCTTTTCCAGTCCTCATTTTTTTCCAGACTCAGTTTTACAGTTCAAATAGGGACTGCTTACCATGGAGTTACATCATAACTTCTTACTACAGTAACGACCTATGGTAACTTGTGAAAAATTTTGCTTCCTTGGGATTTGCCATTAGCATGGAGAAAGCAGACACAGATGGTAACAGCATATGGCAGGAGATACCTGTGCATGTTTCACAGCTGACCCACATGGTAAGAAATGCCACATCTGGATTAAGAAGCTTCAGATACCAACATAATGCCCAGAACTGCCTTCTCCAGAGTTTCTTTAAAACAGCTCTTTCACTGTGCCTAGACACTAGGATCTCAGAAGTTTTTCTTAGGTAACCTAAGTGGAACTCTTGCTGCCCAGAGGGAAACCAGAAACCGACCTTGTTCAAGCCCTCACTGCACCAGTTTGGCTCTGCCCTAGGATGCAAAGGGGTAGAGAGCACTTCCTGAGCTCTACCTGCACCTTGCTGACCTGCCTGCCATCACAGACATCTCTCTGAGGCAGTTTATAACCCTGGAGAGAAAATTGTTACGCCAAGTGTGTCGAAGTGCTGCCTGCAATTTGGGTTCCAGTCGGAGAGCATTGCTACTGAGGTGTTGCTGTTACTAATTCCACCTCCAGGGCGCACTGGGGAGGCAGGGCGGTGCTCATGCGGGTGCATTTCAGCAGCAGCAAACATGACTTCAGCCAACCCGTGTTACTTGAGTGCCATACAACCCCACCTTGTCTGTATGCCTGACAGGATTTCAAGCTCCTCACATTTTGAAGGGGGAAGGAAAGAAACCACAGCATGCTTGTTCACTGGAGCATAAGCCACGTCTCCACAAACCACCATCTCTTCTGTGTACAGGATTAAGGATGCAGCCTGTATGTGCACAGCCATATCTGCAGAACTTCATGGTCTTCCTGTCTCAATCAGCTACATGAAAATAACATTTTGTATATGCTCAACATGGGCAAACCATCTTTCTGCTCTGCTGTGTGCCTCCCAGCCCACACCATGGGAATAAAACTTCAGTGGAAACAAAATTGAGGAAATCTTAATGCCCACAACAAATACCAAAGAAGTTAGGAAGAGGGAAGAGACCCTTCATGTACTCTTTTTAATGTTAAATGGAAGTATAGAGATTTCACCATGGATGTAAAACTACTGAATCTCTTCCCAAAACCGCCTGCATCATTGGATATTTGAAACATAAAGTTTCTGGGGTATGTACAGCATTGAAGGAAACAAGTGCTTGAACTGCTGAGAAGGATGTCATAACTACAAAAGCCCAGGGCTTTTTAAAGAAGAAGACTGTGCCAGGCATCAACAGAAATGCAGGAATTTGGTAGTTATGAGGCAGGATCATTATGTTTAACTCCCCAGCTATCCTAACTCATTAAAAGTTCCTCTGACTTTTTAGTTTTTTCTTATTTCCCATTTCCTTATTTGTCTCAAGCTCACTATAAAGCCAGTGTAATGTGCTGTGTGATGAGCTCCAACTCAGCTGTTTGATGTGCTGTTTTTAAGAGGTGAGCCAAGAGCAAACAACCCTTGAGCTCCAGGGGGAGCTCAAAGCCAGCTTGATACTTGCCCTCTCCTTTAGTCTTGTCCACTTTCGCTTTTCCACTTTGTTATGGAGGTGACCAAGATGATTTCATGAAATTGCAGTAAGAATGCATGCCTTGGGAAAAGATTCAGCAACATCAGTGGAAGTGCCAAATTGGACCTTTCTTTTTTTTTTTTCCTGGAGCACTCTTGTCATGCAAAACGTCTCATAGAGAATATAATGACTTATTTCTTCCATTGCTCCAGGATGGAGAGATTTTGTAAAATCATCTCTCACTAAAGGGTATGAAGGGACCTTGCATTCAAGCAGTTGGCAAGATGAAGGAGTTGTAGACGGCAAGAATAGCAAGATGCACCAGTACCAAGCAAGAGAGAACACCGTGAGTGACAGATATGGGCACAGAGCAGAGAAATAAAAACCAAAAAGTCCTTTCAACACATCAGTCTTAAAATGTTCTCCATTCAGGTACCATGTGCAGCTTTTGACAACATAGCTCAAGACAAAGAGTAGTCAACTAAAAGCAGAAAATCTATATTCAAGCAAGAAGAAGAGTGTAAGACCTCTGGAGTAAAGGTTTGGTTTGTGCTGGTGAGAGAGGAGCATCCTGAATAAAGCAGCACATTAATAATCTTTGGATTAGGTTGCAGAAAATAAATCATTGTGATAGACAAACTGTTAACTGCAACAAAAAGACTTGGGACTTTGTAAAATACTTTCCAGTTAAAAGAGCAACAGAACTAGAGTAATTTCTTAAACACTGGAAGTAATTAATAAAAAGGGATGCAAGCATCTATCTCACATAACCCACCCTGGGGTACAGGGGAAGCCTGGGCAGCCCCTAGCTCTGTACCCACCAGAAATAACAGATTTAGTTTGCTATTCAGTTGCTAACTTTTGAGAGGAGTAGGGGAAATGTTGTGCCAAGCTGGAAATAAGTCTAGACTTTGCAATATAAACAGTTAATACCCATGATGATTATTGTTCCTTGCTCTACATTAGCATTAAACATTACAAGTCAGCAAGTAATAGATATAACCTTTTCTAGATTTACTAGTTTATTTAGCATCAGATCAGTCATGCAAGCCACTTACTAAAAATAGACATCCCAGCATCAAAGCATTTTCTCATGGCTTGTCAGCATTGCCATGCAAACACACAAGGAGGTACACTGGTCTCACATACAACACATGGAAATAACAAAATGGTCATTTTTTTCTGGTTAAAATTTCTCTCTGGTTCACTTGTACAGTATCAGGAAAGTTATGTCACAAACAGGCTTAATCAGAAGCAAAGGGGTACAGTTAAACAGTCTATAAACTGCTATTTAGTTGCTTACATCTTTGCTAGTAGAAGAAAACAGTGTTGACAGTACAGGATTTCTTACACATTAAGCAGTAAAATAAGGAGTCAAGAACACAGGACATGTAGCTAATTTGAGATTCTGCTATATATATTTACAACATTCTTAATTTTTATTAGTAAGAGTCCAGCCTCCAGTGCTCTGAGATCAACAAGCTTATGTAACAGGCTTATAAAATACTTTGTGTTACTAGTCAAAGGCACCATTTTTCTGTTTGTCTTGGAAATATCAGCACATACCCTAGCCATACAGCATACTGTGTTATTGAATTAACAAAAGCACAAAATTCCCTCTTTATGGTCCACATCCAACCAGGAGCCTCCAAACCAAAGCCAAGCCAGACACGCAGCCTTCATGTATCACATTTTTTCAGGTTAAAACCAGTTTAAGCTGATGACCACCTTGCTGTGAATGTGGAGCAGCCAGGCAGCCTCTGCATGGTACCCTCTGGTCTTGTGAGGGTGTGGTGGTATAGCTCCTGGGGACTAACAAATTCCTTCCCCCAGGCCAGACAGCCTCAGCGACTCTTCCCTCCTCCTCCTCCCTGACAAGCTGGACAAGTCACCACTGCTGATTTTTGCAGGAACATCCTGTTCATGGTGGACTTGGCAGTGCTGGATTAACAGACTGCATGATCTTTCCTAAGCAATATTCCAAAGGTCTTTCCCAACCTGAATGGTTCTGTGGTTCTGTGACTAGGGTTCACCCTCCAACTCTGCCATCTTTCCTTCTCCCTGAGCAACTAACCATTTCAGAGGTAATTTTCTCATGAGCATAGGCCTGTCAACACCGTGTATTCCAAAAAATAAAGCCAAAAAACCCCAAAAAAACAACCAGAGCCCAAAATGTCCTCTTACAGAACATGCTATTTAGTCAGAAGCATTAGAATGACATCTTAGGAGGATGTGGTGTGAGCAAGGAAGTGGTTCTTGCACAAAGGAACAGTTTGGGTTAGTTTTCAGAGTTAGTAGTTGTAAATGTCCTTGTTTCTAATTACTTTCAGTAAAAAATTCTTAGTTTTTAATTATTGTCTCCCTGCAGCCAAGATGGTAATGATTTGAGCAGAGCAAACAAGCACCTATCACTACACTGAAGGTAGTACATTGATGATGGCACCAGCCTTGGATGCTCTTGTCATTCCCAAGGAAAATACTTCTCAGGTAGGACACAGCTGCAGCAGGGTTCAGAGATATTTCAGAGATATCTTTGTCTAAATACACATACAGTCCACTTGCTTAGTTCCATGAAATGTTTCTTGATAAATTTCAGTTTTCCATAAAACACTACCTCAGACCCCATAGCAAGGAGGTAGGGAGGTGAGGTGAGGGAGAGACAACTGGGGGACATATTAATAGTACAAACAATACAACTTTGATGTCTTACAAGTGAAGAGTAGGGTCAGTGGTGATGTTTTTCCATCTGGAGGAGGCTGTCACTGGATAGATATTTTTGCACTACTTCATAAATAATGGCTGTCCAGATGTCAGGAAAATAACAGAAATCAGCAAACTTAAAACCTTGAAATGTACATTTATATACACTCTTCACTTTATCCTGTGTTGACAGAAAGCTAAAAAGGAGCTCTTTTTGGTGTGTTATGTAGCAGAGTTCTCTGGTGTGTTTGTTGTGGGCAGTTATTGTACTGTGTTATTTGGGGATTTGTGTAGTGCTCATTCATGCAAATTTCACATTTGTAAGTAACAACATCATGCTTTGGGATCTGAGGGCTGGTATGACAGTGCAGACCCCTGTGCACAGTTCTGGATGACTAAATATGATTCAGTGGCTCCTAGAACATACTGTCTCTGGGACAGATCACATGCCATTTGCAGCTGGAAATCAAACCAAATGGTTTGTCCTCAGCTTTCAAGTGACCAGAATAGCTGCTTCAAGTCATTCGACATAATAATTTCAATTAGAAGAGCTATCCCATATCCACCTGACACAGGGTTTACAAAGAATTAGTCCTTTTTCCTGTCGATGGACAGGAAATGCCGATGTGTGTTCTCACACAGATACAATTATTGGCTCCATAGTTTTGTATTGCAAAGCAGATCATTATTTACAGTTCCAGGCAACAAATGGGACCAAATGTTCCAAACTGACTTTGCAGCTTCTTGTGCCAGCACTGTAAATGGCAATGCTGCATAAAATATGATTCTAAGTATATCAACTCATATTATGTAAACAATATTAAGAAGGTCACTGGTCATAGCATACATGGTATTTTTCAGAGTTCCTAAGTCTGACGTCTTGTCTCTTTGGATTGACCTAAACACTGTCACCCACAGAAGGAAAAATGTGCTATTGACAAAAGTGCTTCCTGGAGCTGAGAAGCAGAATCTGGCATGGTCCTGTTCTCTTTGCACTGAACTCCTCATCCTGCACCAACAGCAGCCCAGGTGCCTTCGTTTTATATTGGGAAATTAACTGAAGAAGCTAAATTATTTTCTGTGTCTGTTTGGCATTTGTTGCACACCACTGAGCTATTTCTGTCAGACAGGTATAGGCCTTTAAGAACAGAATCTGAAGATGCCAGGAAACAGCATGAGTCTGGGAAATAGAGAGGGAAAGCAGAAATGCCTCTCCCTGGGTATTAAATGGCAGTGACAAATCACACCAGGGTGTGGCTCACAGAGAAATACATGTATACTTGACAGATGAAACCCAGACTTCTGGGAGAACAAGTGCAGTAGTGAAACCATCTGATGGAACCAAGGGCAACAGGAGATTTGTCAGGGCAGAAAAGCTGAAACCTGCCAGGTGTCAGATGGCTCTTTACCCACTGACTGACAGCTGACAGCTGTTCCTGGGTGCCCCTGGGCCAGGAAAAAGAAAAAAAGATTAAGCACAGAGGGGAAAAATAACAATAAGCCATTTAGCCATTAATGTTAACACTTTTTCTTGAAGTCAGAGTCATTTTTCAAATTTAAAAATAAAACAAAAAAACTTTCTTTTAAACTTTGCTCTTTATGTATCTTCCTATAGGAGGAACTCTGTTCTACTTCATAGGGGCAAACGTGTGCTGTTTAATATACCTTGGCCAATAAACATCTCCCTGATGTACAAATAAAGGGCCAGACTGTTCTCAGTCACACATGCTGTGGATGGAGCATCACTGGGCAAGTCCTCTGTACAGTTTGGGGCAGCTCCAACTCTTTGTGAAATGCTGTGCTTATGCTGCCATTCCTCTTCGACCCCTGTTCTGAGCACATGAAAGGAAGGCACTGAAATAATCTTCTTCCCAGCTGTGCCTTGAAAGGAGCCAGAGCTGGGAAAAATTCTGTACCACTGTATTTGTTATATTTCATACCTTGATATGCATTACTGAATTTCATCCAGCAATGATGTATGTATACCAAACTGTTAATCATTATGGTTTCAGGTCCAGCTGAGTAATGCTGGAAAGGGACAAAAGATGGCTTAAAAGGTTGCTCCAGCTTCTAATACAGACTTGGCTCTCAGAGATTGTTCATCAGCCTCTGCTTCTTATTTGACAAATTTATATATTTATGTGTTCATATACATATTCAGATTTTAGTCTGTAATTTCACTGCTAAATTCAGAATTGGGCCACTTTATGTATTCCATTGTATTCTTGTTTCTGTACTATGCCTATTCCTACAATATTTGAATGCCTTCCCATTATAACTAAGTTCATTACTGCATTCATGTTCTCTTTTCCATTCTGAAGAGGTAGAAGAGGATGTAAGTACTTGCTGAATTTTTAGTTATATGCATGTATATTGTCCTATCCTTATATTAGTTTGAGGATTCACACTCCAAGGGATGCTCTTCAGTGCCTCTCCTGGAATCTTCTGGATTACTCTGGCCAGAAATTTTACCTCCCAGATATAAAGAATCTACAGTCTTGCCAATAGTAATTTATATATCTTCTGGAACTAAGATCATAAATTCATGAAATCACAGAATGGGTAAGGCTGAAAATGACCATTGGCACTGTTATCTGGTCCCACCTCTCTGCTCAAGCCAGATTTCCTAAAGCACATCACTCAGGATTGCGTCCAGGTTCTGGAATATCTGCAGTGGGGGAGACTCCACAGCCTCTCTGGGCAATCTGTCCCCATCTGTGGACACCTGCACAGCAAAGAAGTACTTCCTCATGTTTAGGAGGAACAGCCTGAACATCAGTTTCTGCCTATTGCCTCTCGTCCTGTTGCTCAGCACCATGGAGCAGAGCCTGGTCCATCCTCTTGGCACCCTTCTTTCAGGTATTCCCATATATTAACGAGGTTCCCTCTCAGTCATCCTTTCTTTAAGACTGAATGGGCCATGTTTCCTCAGCCTTTCCTCGTAAGAGATCTGTTCCTGTCCTGTCATCATCTTTGTAACCCTCTACAAGACTTGCTTTAGAACTCTGTGTCTAGACCAGGCAAATATTTCACTCCTATTTTTGTCCCTTTTCCTTCCTTATTTTCTTCTTATTCTGCAATGCAGTGGATGGTTTTTGTTCAGCAAAACATGGTATTGTGCAGGGGCTTATCAGAGAATTTTATATAAATTTCTTTATCCAAAAGAAGAATCAACTCTATGTTCTAACTGAACTAACTCTGATAGGGAATAAAGGATATTCTCTGAGCTGTTAATGTTTTCTAAAGTAACTTTACAGATGTTCTGCCTGTCTCTTTGCCACCCTTGTTACCTTCAGGACTTGTGTGTATCCTGCCACTGGTCTCTAGGTCTAACTGTGCATCTTTCTTGGTCAGCCTCTGATATTTTTTGTTACATGGATGCCATGCCTCCATTAGCTATGCTCTCATAATTTTTGAGCAACAAAAATTGGTTTGCTCAGCCACTCAGAAATGAGTTCTTCTCCAGGAGAAATAGCCTCTGCACAAGGCACTGTGCTGATGCTTGTGTCTGTTATTCTGTAAGCAGGCAATGTGCAGGACATTGTACAAAGATCTGCCGGGATTCCTCTATCCCACACTTTTATATGCTGCTCTTAAAACCCCAGAGATGACCCAGCATGTGTGCAGGAGCTGAGGGACATTTATCTAGAAACAAGGGTTTATTTTCCAGAGTCCTGCTGCATTTGCTGCTTGTCAGATATTGCTTTCCTTCTGCTGAGTTGGACACTAACAACTCCCAGTATTAATTTTCCCTTTCCTTGCTGCTGGGCAGCAGAAAATATGGTGTTGTCTTCACTTCTCCCATGGCTGCTGGCTGTGTCTGTGTTCCATTTGCAGTGTGAGTTGCAGGAGAAGGTGATTCATTTGGAAGGTGTAGAGGCCTAGCTGCCAGTGAGCCACAGCCTCCTGCAGCCTGGGCCTCCCTGCTGGTCTGAGCCACTCCAAAAAACCTTTTGGTTAATGCTTTTATCCCACTATGCTACCACACAGCTTTTCAGAGAACTTTGCTCTGTTCACCAAGACAAAGGGACTGCTGGGCAGTTTTTGTCATTCCATGTGTCCAATGGCCTGCTCATTTGTGGGGACAGAGTCCTACGTACACTTCTTCTGAAGAACCTGTTATATCAAAAACTTTTGCATTGATGGTATGCTGCATTCAGAAGTTTGATTACAGTGTGTCCGCCTCTTTTACAGTATGTTTGCACACTGTAAAGTACAAACTTCAGCCAACAAACCAGTACCAGGCTCACACAGTGCAATTTACTGTGTCATCCACAGAATTGCAAGCAAAAGTGTTTGAAACCACAGGAAATCTGTTCTATTTTGGAGGGAATCTTTCTGAACCTGACAAAACCCCTGCTGTGATGCAAAGGCAGGACTTCCTTAGACATTTAACAGGCATCTGATCATCATCTTTGCTCTAAAATAGGCTAGTGCTGCAATCTGCTTTTAAAGGAAAAGTTTTGCTAAGCTCAAATACTTCAGAAAGATTGGAAGGTTTCCCCTTTTGTACTTGAAGAACTTTGTTAATATGTTAAATATTCTAAAAAATTAAAGCTTAGGATTTCAACAGAAAGGAGTGCAAGTAACTTTCTACTTAGCATAACCACATATTTGGAAACATCTGCTCCATCTCCAGTAGTTTTCAAGTGTGTTCACATTTTTCAGCCACAGTAAGACACTGATGTTGCACATCCCTGTCTGCACTACAGCAGATGCCACTAGGATGTGATTTTTCAGATGAAGCCAGTGCACGTAACACTCTTGTCTTCCAGTGCATGCATACACCCAAGTGCTGTCACAAATCAAATATATCATCCAGGCACAGTGCTTTACTGAGTCACATACTGGTAATCACAGACTCAGCACGGCCATCCTGATTGTTTAATGTTGAGTATGATAAAAGAAAACAAAGCAAAAAAAGAACTGAAGCCCCAGAGCCTTTATGCATAAAACTGAGCTGCCTCTGAAGATCATGCTGTGACAGAGAGATCTCCTGTTGGATGGAATCAGTTCATAGTTATGGTATGCCGTGGTATATTGTAGCAAAAATCACCATTGGGAATCAGCTAGGACCACTTTTCAGCTCAACAAACCATGCCTCAGATGAAGGAATTTATGCTTAAACTCTTACAGAAGTGCAGTTACTGCACAGCCAACTCCACTGCTGCAGGTTTGAAGCAATGATCCCAAATGAAAGACAAAATGATACAGAAATCCAGCCTCTCCCGTCAAACTTCCCTACTGACTGAACTTGGGTGACTTCACCACAGTATTATGGCAGTGAAGTAGCTGAAAATTGCATTTTTCCTCCAGTGACCTCAAAGGAGGTAAGACAGCGAATAGAAAGTGAGATAGGTAGATGTACCTATGATCTTCTCTAAAGTTATTAATCTTGCTGTACTTGTTTCCAAGGGAAAAATCTGTAAAAGTGTCATGTTGGCTTGCATACAGCTGCTATGGCCCCACCAGATGACCTGACCTGAAAGTGTGTCCCTTGAAAACTGAACGGATGCTTGTCCTTTAAATTTCAACTTCTTAGTCAGCAAAACTTTTTGTACAGAATTCTAAGAACTGGATAAAAAAATCTGAAGTATAATAGATGCATTTTCACACAGTAAAGACAGGATCTTTAATCCTCCTTTATATATTAATTTAGAACACATTTTATTTATTAAATCTATCATACGAATAACATTGTATTAACCTTTAATTTCATCAGGAAATGTAGTTATTGAATGTTTTATTAAAGTCTTGGTTTTTCAGTAGCTGCTATACTTTTTCAAGGCAAGTTGTGCAAGGCCTAACAACAACATGAAAACATTAAAGCAAAAGAGGAATGATGATTGTATTAGGATGATAGGTAACTATCAGTATTAAAAAGTTTAACAAGCACAAGTAACATTTTTGTACATCAGGTTCTTTTTGACATTTTTGTAATATATCAGTACAATAGTCACATGCTTTCAAATAGATAACAAACAAGTGTAAGTGGTCATACACACTGATGCACATTAGTTTTTCAGTTCCTATCAATCACATTCAACAAAAACATCAAGATAGCTGAAGAGCCTGACCCTACTTTTGCAAGCTGATTGATGCACACAGCTGCTAACTCAAGAATACCTCTGGGCAGATGCAAGATTGGTGCTGGTAGATCACTTTACAGGAGGGGTCCTTTGTTTGGAAAAGGTGGGCTAATTACAAGTGGAAACTGCTCACTCATGAGGTTAAACTACACAGGAACCAACTAGATTATACTGCTTGCTCCTAGACCTTGCATAAGAGTGTTTCCCCGAAGCAAAATCAGAAAGTTGTGGCATAGCTTCCTTCAAGCACTTACAACTTATTTAAATGCAGATTATTCCCATAGGGCCTATAAAATGTCTTCTAGCTGCAGATTAGAATTTTAATGAATAAATTTAATGGTATGCCAAAAATTTGCATGTACTCTAATCCTTGTTAAGTCTATGGTTTTGTTTTGCTAACACTTTACTGTGGAATGGAATGGCAGAAATCTGAGAAATTTTGGTTGTTATTAAAATACTGTATATAAACAGGAAAAGTCAGAATAAGGCATTCTCAATGCAAGCTTGCACAATATATGTTTTCATGCCCAGTGGAACTACCATTTCAATTTCTTCTCAGAAGTACTGGAATGTTTTTTTGTTGGTTTTTTTTTTTGTTTTTTTTTTTTGCATGTAAATCCCCAAATAACTTTTCAGTATTACAGATAAAATAAATTATTTCATGCATAAGTTTTAAAAGCATTGGTTTGATATTTCCTTCCGTTTTGTTTGCTGAAGGACTATGAATCTGGAAGGAAACAGTTCAAAGAAACTCAACATAGATAAGACACCTACTTCCATAAAACCAAACAAAACAGCATTTTGTTTCAAATGCCACCTAAGAACACTAGATAGATGAAGAATACATATTATGGTAGGTAGTTAGTAATCCCCATGTTTTCACCTGCCGGTATTACTGCAAATGACACTGTTTCCATGACATGCCTAGCGGTACAGTTTACTACTTCCATAAGCAGTCACATGCACTGAAGGTAGGATCACCAGGCAGGGCCTGTGGCGCCCCGAAGCAGAACCAGAGAGGCCAAGCTTACTGTCTCGCTGGGTGACAAGGTAGCTGGTGTATGAAATGACACATCTCTGCCGGCATCAGCAACATCCACCTAAGGCATTTCTTCTGGAACCGCTGCTGCTGCTGCTGCTGCTTCCTGAGTAGGTTTCTCCTCGGGCTGGGTGTCGTGGGTGCTGTGGCCGGGCTTGTGGCCGTCGTGGGTGCTGTGGGTGCTGGCGCTGCCGAGGCGCGTGGAGGCCACCACGGCTTTCACGGCGGCCTGAGAGAGAGAGGTCCAAGCAAACATTCCTTAGGGGGCACGGCCCATCGGCACTGCAGCCTCAGCACTGCCCCATAGGGAATGCCATTGCGCCTGGTCTTCCTGGGAATGTCACCTGTGGAAACCTGCCTGGGCCTGGGCCAGCTCAGAAGGCTGCCTGGGATACTGGGCTGAGGTTAAAAACTGATGCTTTCACAAGGTTACCTGTTGGGTGACATGAACACAACTGGTTTTCAGATATGCCTGCTAGTGTTTTGTGGGTTGTTTTTGTTTTTTTCTTTTTTGTTGTTGTTGTTTTTTGCTTCTTTTTTGTGTGTGGGGTTTTGGGTGTTTTTTTTGTTTGTTTGGGTTTTTCGGTTTTGTTTTTGGGGTTTTTTGGGGGTTTTTGGTTTTGTTTTTTTTTGTTGTTTAGAAAATAGTTCAGGTGTCCCATGATTAGGCTGGATGGCAAAAAAGAAAGTCATCGCCTTCTGTCATAATAATAACAATAGTACTATCACTGATTATTCCATGAATATTTCAAGAAGGAACACAATATTTATCACTATTGCATATTCCAAGCACAATGTTGCGGACCACATGGGCAGCTTCCTAAGTATAGATATATAAAAATACACACTGGGGATAGGCTTTCATATCACATGAAATATCACAAAATGAAGACACACAGGAAGACAGTTATATTAGCCTTTGCCTTGAAGAGTTTTATTGCCTGAAAAAAACCCTAGACATACAGAGGTGAAGAAAATAAATGCTAATTTCTGTGTGTGACAACTCAAGCTATTTTTGACTTGGCAGCTTTTGCTTAGACAACAAAGAAGTGGGTCTGCAGGAAGAGATGAAGAGTGTAGCAAGTTTTGAGGATTCTTTGGAGAGGTAATCACACACATATTAAAAAAAAAAAACAAAAACCCACACAAAAAATAAAGAAACAAAAAAACTTCCACAAAAAATAAAAAGGAAAAAAGAATATGTTGATGAAAAACAGATAACATAAACATGGTCAATAAAAAAGAATCAGCTGCAACAGATAATGAAGAAATGCTATAATGTATAAACCAAAGAAAGTGGCAAGAATTTTGAGAGACTAGACCTCTTAAAGGAAAAACTACAGACATCCACATTAGTGATGAGAGAACTTTAGAAAACTGATTACAAACACAGCAAGCCACTCAATGGCTTGTTAATGGCAATATTATAATGTCTAAAGGAACTTTCAATGTAATTTACTCTCACAAGCAGTGTTGGATGTTTATGAAACAAATTCAACACGGCCAATGAGAAACCAAATCCTGACTGAGACCTTTAGAGTTACCCTTTAAAATTTGTCTTTACATAAAGAAAGCCTGCTGATGGACTTCTATGTTGGGAAAGTGGAGATAATTATGTATCATTCTTACTAAGAAAACAACAGCTAAAGTGTGTACTCACTACTTTGATGTCTGCTTGGGTTCTATTTTTTTTTGGAATTGTCTAAAAATTTATTGTTTCTTTTACACATATATGTGTGGGAAATTATTAACTCTACAAGGACTGCTACCTTCAATCAATCCTCTTCATAACTGGAGATTTGATAATTTAATCTAAACAGAGAAACACTGAAGAAATAAACTTAAAAAAAGCGATAGTCTGTAATCACAAAAGAATGAATTGATTTACTGTAGGGGTCTAAATAAAATAAACTTTAAAAAAATGTCTCTAGTATAAAAATATAAAGAAAAACAAAATCAGAACATCAATGTGAGTTATATCTACAGTCTCTGAGAACTTTGTAAGTGACAAAACAAATTTCTTTACCCCGTGGAGATTCTCTGTGACAGTTCTCTACTAAAAAAAATATAGCAAAGCCAGAGTTAAGGGTCAGTTTTTTGTGAATTGGTATCTCTATGGAATTCACTAAAGCTCTCAGGTTATTTTTTACTATTATTCCCCAGGGCTACAAGGGCAGCTTCACTGTAGCTGTTGCTAACATTTTCTGTGCTGAAGTACCCCTGGAATTATCTCCTGAGCAGATGGCAGTCTTTAAAAACTGAAGAACAGTTTAGGGGAGAAGAAAGTTTCCTGGATACTATGTCAGTCGGGTCCCCAGTTGCCTGCTATTTGCACCTGAAGATGTTTCCCTGGTTTGTCCCATGGTAGATATGTAGACTGGATGGTAAAGGAGCATCCTGGGAACATTTTATGGACCTACATATCTGAAATGCTGATTCTAGATCATACAGAAGGATGGCTTAAACCTCCTGCTTTGTGTTGATAGGTATGGGTAACCAAGGGAGGATTAGGGGTCAAAACATGCTTTAATAGAGTAATTTTCTTCTAGATTTATGGATGCTCATTAAGAAATTGCTCAGTATGTTGTTATTTCTGGTCAGGATTCTAAGGATGCACCATCAATACAGATGGATGGACAGAAGCAAGAAAGGAAGAAGGGAAAAAAAGATGAAAAGTAAGGACTTAGTGAGAGCTGTGCACATCCTCAGCAGTACTATCTGTGCAGATAAAGTTTTCAATCAACTTCACACTTTTTATTTGTTTGGCTTCAGTCATTCACTAAATCAGCTTCAGACTTCTTCAATCTTCATCAGACATCTTAAATAAAAAGCTTCCATAACATCATGGAATATTTTCCTCAAAAATGTGCAAGGTTTCTGCAAGGCCACCAATTTAATTGCATGCTTTCATAGCCAAAACAGAGACTATGAGCAGAGACTTGCCTTAAGTTTACGCCGGGCATTGAATTCTTGAAGTTTCTTTTGTGCGTTGTCCATATGTGCAAAGTTTATTGCCTTCCCTGTGACCCATGGGTGCTGCAAAGCCTGTAGAGTGGTGAGGCGTTTCTTGGGGTCTAAAACAATCAACTTTTTAACCTGCATCACAAGCAAGAAATACAAAAGACTGTCAACCTTATTCTTCATTCAAATTTACCTAGTTTTGCATTTGGGGGCTCTGGTCTTCATTTGGGAAGCATCTTAGGTGAGACATTCTAAGAGACCAACAAGAATTTTCATTTGTGTTTTTCTAAGTATTCTACTTCTGGCATTTCTTGGTCCTCCATAAATAACATCTGATTAAGACAGCCACTAAGGGGGAAGAGAGAAGAGAAAGAATCAACTGGTTACCAACATATGAAGGGTATCACCAATGCAGATGACCTGTATCTATCATAGGCTCTTTCATGTCTGAATTGTCACAAAAACCCTAAGAGATTCTCAAAATCTCTAAGAAGTATCTCTGCTTTTGGATTTGGACAACTTTTAAACTGGATTAGAAAGTTTAAATTATGCATATGCAGCTCATGCAGACTTGTACCACTCAGTCCCTGTCAGGTACATCATAAAGGAAATGTTTCTTTCAGTCATTGTAAAACCTCATGTACACATGAAAAAAAGAACTGTACAGATGTTTCTGTCTTAGCTCACTCTGAAACTAATGCTGTTTGCACCATTCCTTCTGTCACCAAAGCCAGCAAACCTGGACTTCTACAAACATGACTGTAAGATATTTTTGGGAAAAAGGCACTGCAAACATACCCCTGGGACTGGAGACGGTCCTGCTGGATACAGGGTGTGTCCAGTCAAGCGACATTCCATGGGTTTTATTATATCTCTGGACAAGTGGTGTTTTAACAAAAGAAAGGTGAGAGGATGTAGTAACAAAGTAAGCAGACTGCACTCTGCAGACCCACACTTACCCAGCTCTCCTGACTGCAGACCCTCTTGGAGCAGAGTGCATGGCACAGGGCTCCACTGCTCCTATGTGCCCAAGGCTGAGGGAAAACTTGCTTTAGGGTTCTCTGAAATCTCCCTACAAAGAGCTTTTAAAGAAAGTTGGTGCCCTGAAGTGCATGGAGGAGAACAGGCATTGTGGGTGTCTCCAAGGAAAACCTTGAGTTAAGCAAATCACTTCAGCTGAACACTGAACTGCCCACAGCATGGGTTTTGAGAGTCATGGTCATCATCCTTATCTACAGTTCTGCTATGAAAAGTTCAAACCTGAAAGTTTGAGCTTCAATTTACTAAAACAGTATGGAGCAGTTAGGACAAAAGCTTTACCTGTAGACTGCTGTTTATCTGGCATTAAATTATACATTTTTTGCCTTAGAAAAATTTCACATCTCATAAAACAACAAAAAAGTACTTTGAACTTGTACAGTCCTTCCATTTGGAATATCCTGAAGTACTTCACTAAAATTAATGACATAGTATGTTTTGACACAGCTTGCATAAGAATATATGGAACTAAGCACTTGTGTTTCCAGTGCTAATGAAATAACTGAATTATGCAAAATATTATTGACAAAGTCAGACTCAAGCATACCTATCTTTGCAGATCAGTGTCTCCTGGATTCAAATTCCTTTATCCAGTAATAAAAGAATACAGTGCAGATAGCATGCCAGCCCTTGCATTTTTCTAATTGAGCATATTTAAAAGTAGTCAATCTTTCCTCATCTACTAAAAAAAAATTGAATGTGCACAAAAAGTATGTCAGAAAAAGCAGTGGGGGGGGAAGTGTCATTCCTTTTTATATTCTTCCCCAAAATTCAGGCTTGAAAACTGCACAAAAAGAAGGGCTTGTTTCTACATTCCCCTGAAGGTGTTTGCCTGGAAAAGAGGAATGATGAAACGCTTCAGATCTGTAAGAGCTTCACATGAGCACTGTGACAGCTGCCAACAATCTATGGTTTACTTCACAGGGGAACCTGAGTATCTATGTTTTGAGTGCAAAATCACAGCACCATAATAAAGCAAAGACAAGAGGAAACAACTATGATCAATTAATTAATGAATTATTCTGCCCCACCCCAAAATGGACTCTTTCTCAGTGACAAAAATACTAAATACAACAAGTCTCATTTTTGCTTTACTTACTAAATCCTTGGCATTCAGAGACACATCATCCCACCAGGGGGACACAAAGTCATATTCACAGCTCAGGATCCTCTTAAACATATACTGATCTCCCCTTTCATCGTAAAATGGTTCAAAGCCACAAAGTCTGAAAGGATAAAAAAGAAATTAATTTATCCAAGTTTAATTAGTCTTGTGTTGTTAGAAACTGTTCATGTTAGTATACTTCCCTACTTTGTGTTCTGTAGATCACTTTGGGAAACCAGACCTGGATGGACTCATGAACCCCCAATTCTACAGAGCAGGGAGAAATGTGGCCAAATGTATTCTTAAGCACTGGGAAAGGCTTTTATAATATTAATTTTTCTATTTTCACATGTCTTTAATTGGAACTATTAAAACAGGATCATGAAGCATTTATCAGAACCCCTATAACTCTTGCCAGAGGAATAGAAATTAGCTGAGCAAACTTCATCTTACACGTGAAGTTACAAGTTTTATATATCCAGTTAGGACTGATTTTTATTCATGTACATTTTTTCATCCTATTAGCCACAATATGTAAAAACCTTTGGTAAGTTTTCATGATCAGCCCTCATCTTTACTTAGGTAACCTACATACAATCTAGAAGTCTTGTGATCTCACTAAATGACTGCATTTATAAATATATTGAATAATATAGAGATCCACACAGCTGGCCCCAGGGAAAGCAGACTCATAAACGTGGTTTCCATTTGTGTAATGTCTTTTTTTATCACTTAGTGAAGTGATAAAATCACCTTAATCATGCCTGCACACATAATCAGATTTTTGAAGTGAATTTCCTATTCAGCCAGTACGTGATCTGAGCTTAACAGAGAAAGTCTTTCTGCTCCTCTGCCTCCAGAAAATGCAACAAGCAGTTAAGATGATGAGAGGAAAACAAAAGCAGATAGTAAAGATCAAGACAGCAACAAATTTAGAAAAGCCTTACATTTTAACCTGTTTTTGTTTTTTTAAATTCAGTGTGCTTACTGTTCTGAAAAAGGAGGCTGAGGTTCAAGGAAGAAATGTGGTTTTGGGAGTGGTACATAGCTGTGGGTGGAGCAGCTGCATCACATTCCACTGCCGAAGAGGGGAAACACCTCATTGCAGGCACATTCTGAGCACGTTATTTTTCCAAGTCTGGCAGAGACGTATTAAAACACAAGGATCCAGCCTCCAAACCTTGTGCCTCAGGAGGTGGTGGCCAGCCAGAGTCCCTCTGCTGCTCTCCTCCTGCTTGCTGCCTCTCCCATCAGCATTTCTGGACTTGCAGCAGGTCCCAGCTGTTCCCATGGAACACCCCTGAGCAGTGCCCTCACTGACTCAGCCCAAACTGCCTTTTGGATCCCGGTAACCTATGACAGTAAGAACCTCCTTAAACCTTGCTGTGACTGTGCTGGAAGCCTCCTAACTGAACTCACTACCATCATCTATTGTTCTCCTATTAACAATTTCCATAGATACGCTTCTACTTAAAAAACCACTTCAGCCGACAGATTTTCTTTTTTTTTTTTTTGGCTACATGCCAAAATAGGCAAGTAAACCTGGATATTTCAGATTAGATTAATTAAATCAGTGCAAGACTAGTGTGGCTGCACTTGACTTAATTTTATTTTGAAAGAACATTTTACTATTATGATTCACTTTATATGAGTTACCTGCCAATAAAGGAAAAGTCAATGTAGACAGCTTAAAAAACAACTAAAAATGACCAGATGATGTTTTGTGTCCTTTTAAGCAACTTAGTAAAATAACAACTTTAATTAAATCCATGCAATTTCAACTACAGGCAAAGCTTCTGTATTTGTCAACCACTGTCTTCATCTCAAACATGCAGAAGGATTTCTAAGCTGCTTTAGGCATACAAAAGGACTGCTCCTCTTGACTTCTAAAACTATACATGTGGCTTCCCTTGAATTATGACAGTTATCACAAATAGGTCTTACTATAATTTGGCTCAGGAAAAACTTCTGCCAGAATATGTGCCAAAGTTTTTTTTAATCAAATAGGAATTTCACTTTGGTTAATGACAAGATACAGTTTTATGCAGATCCTCTTTAACATGGTTGTTAACTCCTACATCCACTCCATTCTGGGGGGGCATACAGGAAATTTTTTATTATATTTTTTTGACTCTATGTAAGTAGTTTTCCTTTACTGAACTATAAGACTGAGACAGGCAACATTGTCCTCTGGGCTCCAGGATTAATTAGTAATTTCACATGTACCTTTCTGGTCTCAGTTTCTAATCCATCAGACATAGATCAACAAAGCTTTATACACAGTAGGAGAGTTTTAAATGTGGAGTACTGTTAAAGCAAATGGAAGAGACAACCAGGTAGATTTTTGCCTGTCTTGTTCCTGTAGATCAAATTGGATTTTGAGGTGGGAGTAGGACAGGATTAGAAGGAGGAAGAATAGAAGAGTATCTAGTCATGCAGCCCCATCCAGGGCAAGAACTCACACACTTGTATTTATGCACCTGCAGAGGTTTAGTGTGGCTTGGGAGCATCCCCTGAATAGCTAGAAGGTTTTGAGAAGCTGCATATAGAAAATCCCACTCCAGATATTCAGATAGGAATTGTCTGGAGTTTGGTTGGAGCTTGCTTACACTTGAAAACAAGTTCTGCTTAAAAAAGGCTCTTAGTTTAAGATACAACAACTTCACTAAGCCTTGAGTAACTAGGAAAGGCCATAACTTAACCTAGGTGGCTTTTTAAAGGGGCAACAAAAGTCACCTCTCCAGCCTTGGGGACCACCTTGCTGGCAAATTTCACATCTCTGAATGGAAACCTTAAAAGTTGTAAGAAATGAGCATCTGGCAGGCAATATCTGAGATGTGATCCTCAACACAAGGTCTGGATCTTAAACCAGACCTTGAGACAAAGATAGACACATTTAAAAAGGAGCAAATAACAAAATGGCAAATAGGAATATTGTAGCCCATTATTTACAGGTACCCAAAAAGAGACCTGTGAACTCTTTGAGGCTTGTGTGCAGAACAAAAGATGAATTTTTTCTGACATTACCATCAGAGTGTTTATATATCCTTACATGGACTTTTAGTATAAACTCTAGAGAATATAGTTATTTTCTTTGCAAAAGATGAAAAGAATTGTGTTATTGCACACTATACTTGCTGGACATAGCAAGTACCAGGGGAGGGACAATGGCCCACATGTATAAAATCCTCCATATCTTTAAGGGACTGTTGGGGGTTGGCTTGCTTTCTTTCTCACTTACAGATTTTTTTTCCCCAAAAGTTGCCAGGAAACTAGCTACTGGGTATTTATTGGTACTTAAAAAAACCCCAAAGACTTAGGGATCCCACTCCCAGAGAGAAGAGTCCTGCTGAGCACCAGGACCTGGCTGCCCCAGAGTTTGTGCAGCAAACCAGTCACTGGGTCTTGGTTCTGGTTCTTGTTAATGCCAGAGTTGTTGTTTTGTTTGCCTTATTATATGTACTAGTAAAGAACTGTTATTCCTATTCTCATATCTTTTGCCTGAGAGCCCCTTGATTTCAAAAATAAAATAATTTGAAGGGAGGGAGTTTACATTTTCCATTCCAAGGCTCCTACCTTCCTTAGCAGACACCTGTCTTTCAAACCAAGACAAGTAAATATGTAAAATCTCATTCTCTTCCCATAAAAGGAATCCTAGAGGTATTGTACATAACTTCACAAGTTGTCTTAGCATTGTCATTGCCAAGGGTCTAAACTAAGTCTTCTAATTATTCTCCCATAAAGAAGGGAGTCAATACATCATAGACTATTTTCCCTTCTCAGTAGTCTTTCTTTGAAAAATTCATTCAATACAATAAAGTAATTACAATTCTTAGCAATTGAATCATGACTAGCCACAATAATACTCAGACAAAAATGGCTATTTAAACACAAGTTTTGGAACTTTTGGCCTATACTCGTTCACACTAATAGCATGATTCTGCACATATCTTGTTGCTGTGCAGGAAGAACTGTTATATTTATCAAATATTTAAACTGAGCGTCCTCCTGTAGGATTTGACTTGCTTCAGTAAAGTTTGGAATACAATAATTAAAGTTCAGGCTCTTATCTTCAATGGCACAGCTCCTAGTGTTATGAAGTCCTGGGGGGTGCTAAAAAGAGAACCTCTCTGTAGCACTGTCTGCACTTACAGGATGTAGGTGATAATCCCCAAGGACCACATGTCCACTTCAGGGCCATAGGCACATCCCCGTAGTATCTCTGGTGCTGCAGAGGACAAAATACTTGTCAGTAAACACAAAAGCTGAGTGAAGAAATAACAGTCACAAAATCAATTAAAGTCCATGCACAGTCTTGTCTTTTGTAAAAAGTTGGCACTACCCATTTAAGCCCTTAATTAGGTAAATGATTCCCTTCACTGACTATAAAGCAAAAGAAGTCATGCCCAAGCTGAGCCAGAATAAAATGAGAAGTGTACTTTGGATTCAAATTGTTTTTAGTTTGTAAAAAGAACCACAGAAAGCTACAGCTGCACTGGAGCTACAATGTGACCAAGAAGGTGAATGCTTTAACTTCAGTATTTTGCTTAGTGTTATTATAAATACATCAACAACAGAAATGGGGCCAATGAAAATCTCCATCCTTTACTGGAAGCAGAGGCAAGCACTGGAATGAAGGATGAGGAGCAGGCTGAAGTACTTAATGCCTTCTTTGCCTCAACAGCAAGGCCTGTTTATCCTCTGGGAGCCAGCCCCTGAGCTGGCAGACAGGGACTGAGAGCAGAACAGACCCTGTGCAATCCAGGACAAGGGAGGCAGTGACCTGCTGAGCCACAAGTCCATGGGACCATGTGGGATTCATCCTGGGGTGCTGAGGGAGCTGGAGAAGGAGCTTGTCAAGCTGCTCTGCATCACTGATCATCAGTCCTATCTAACTGGGAATGTCCCAGATGATTTGGAGCTTGGCTAATGTGATGTCCATCCATAAGAAAGGGAGGAAAATGGATGCAGGGAAGTACAGGCCTGTGAGCCAGACCTTGGTGCCAGGGAAGATCATGGAGAAGATCATCTTGAATGTGATCACAGGACACATACAGGACAGTGCAGGGGACCAGGTACAGCCTACAGGGGTTCAGGAATGGCACATCCTGCCTGACCATCCTGATCTCCTTTTATGAGCTGGTGATCCACCTGGCAGATGAGGGGAGAGCTGTGGATGCTGTCTATGGGAACTCCAGTAAAGCCTTTGGCACTGTCCCCCATGGCATTCTCCTGGAGAAACTGGCTGCTCATGTCTTGGACAGGTGCTGTGTCACTGGGTGAAAAACTGTCTGAACATCTGGACCTGGGAGTGATGTGAACGGAGTTAAATCCAGCTGGTGGTGGATGTAACCCCAGTGGGGTGCCCCAGGGTTCAGTGTTGGGCCCAATTCTGCTTAATATCTTTATTTGTGATCTGGATGGGGGGATCGGGGGCACCCTCAGTCAGTTTGCAGATGACACTGAGTCAAGGGGCAACTAGGAAAGCTGTTCAGAGCTGTGGAGAGGCTGGATCCGTGAAAGACCAATGGCATGAGGTTCAGTGAGATTGAGTGTCAGTCCTGCCTTGGGCCAGAACAACCCTCTGCTACAGGCTGGGGGCAGGTTGGCTGGAAAACTGCTCAGCAGGAAAGGACCTGGGGGTGCTGGTTGACAGTGGCTAAACATGAGCCAGCTGTACCCAGGTGGCCAAGAAGCCCAAGGGCATCCAGGCAATAGTGGGGCAGTTACCATCCCCCCTGTGCTGGGGTTACACCTCAAATGTTGTGTCCAGTTTGAGGCCCCTCACAACCAGGAGGACCTTGAGGGGCTGGAGTGTGTCCAGAGAATGGCAATGAAACTGGTGAAGGTATAGACTTCGTAAATAAATACTAAGAGGAGCAGAGGGAGGTGTGAATGTTCAGCCTGAAGAAAAGGAGGCTCAGGAAGTCTCTACAACTACCTGGAGAGAGGTTGTAGTGGGGTGAGGATTGGCTTTCTCTCCCATGTAACAATGATAGGTCAAGAGAAAACAGCTCAAGCTCTACTAGGTGAGATTCAGGTTGGACATTAGGAAGGATTTTCTCACAGAAAGCGTGGTTAAGCATTGGAACAGGCTGCCCAGGGAGATGGTGGAGTCCTAATCCCTGGCGGTGTTCAAGAAATAACTGGACGTGACCCTTAGTGCCATAGCTCAGTGATCATGGTGGTGTTCAGTCAAAGGTTGGAAAAAGCCTCCAAGATTGTTAAGTCCATGGTTAAGTCAATGGTTCTATGAGACTATTTATTTGGCACTTTATTTAGGGCTTATTTTTGATATTCTGTTTTAGCTGGAAAGAAAGACAAACCATTTCAGAGAGTTGCTTCTGCTGCAGTGAGGACCAGACAGAAAGACCAGGCAGTTTTTGGGGACTTCAGATCTGCAGCAGTAAAGAGGAGTTGATGTCTACCCAAGCAGCTTGATAAGCACAGCTTGAGGGCCCTGGTCCCTGGATCTGTGATGCACATTCCTGGAGCACAGTGGGCTGGCTGTACCTACGAGCATCAGTGCAACCTCTTCCCCTCCCCACATTACACTTGCACAGCCATGAAGAGAAGGGCTTTTGGTATTTTTTTTTTCCAGATCGATTTCCAGAAGTTTTCTTTTGGTGAATGGATTTGTCCCACACATCACTTATAGTTTAGATGTTGCCTGTAACAGACTGATCATGAATCACTGCTTTGCACTGGGCTTCATTTTTTGTGCTGCTCTCAGAAATCACTGATGCTCTTCTTGTTAAGTTCATGGAAGGCACAACATTGCAGCAAACTAAGTTTTCTGTGACCACTTTCTTGCCTTCAGTCCTCTGCATCAATCTGCACATCCCAAGAACTGTAGATTGTCAAGTCTTGATGCCAAAGAATTCAGATTCCAGTTTTTGTTTTTGTTGCTGTATCCTTTCTGGAGAAGCTGCCGATACATGGGTGAGCAGGATGTGGGAGCTGGCAGCCTGGAACCATCAATTATTCATAGTTTAATTTGGCATTTAAACAGTATTTCTCCTGGGTCTCCTCCAATTCTGGAAAGTAATGCTTGAATATTTTCCAGGACTTCTGCACGGTCAGTTAAGTTGAGTTGTAAATCAAGGATTGCTACAGACACATGACTATAGGCATAAAGCTCCTTTCTTCCCTTCTCTGCAGAAATGTTCAGCCTCAGTCCTTCCCACCAAGTCAACATAAGTCTGAGGGCTCTTCTATGGAAATAAGCCTTATCCTAATTTTATAGTATATGAGGATGGGCATTAAAAGAGCTAAGCACTGTCTACAGATGTGTGGCATTGGTAGTGTAACTGTCACAAGAGAAGACAACCAGAACATTAATAGCTAATATATGAAATATAGTTTTATGAAACTAACTGGACAGGAATTAGGTGCTGCTCTAAAGCAGACTTGGCACATGTGTGTGCTTTGCAGGCAATGTCACACAAGGTAATGGAGAACGACAATGTCACCTGAATTGCATTATCAGCTGTTCTCTGAGGTAACAGAGTGATCTCGTGGTCTTCTCCAGTGTCCCCTTTCTGTTGACTTTACAGTTAAAAAAGCATATGTAAGTAACAAAACAACATACCACAGTACCCTGGAGTTCCACAAACTGTCTTCATGGTCACATGATCTTCCACAATCTTGGAAAGTCCAAAGTCAGCTGTTAAGATGGTTTGGGAATATTAATGTTTGTACTCCCTGTAATAATGTGGCGTTTGTTTGTTGTATATGCAATTAAATAAACATTTATATGTTAAATGAAGGCATTTCCAGAGGTAAGCACTGATTTAATGAATCTACCCATGCTGCAATCTGGAAGCAAAATTTGCTGTACAAATGAGTATTCCTGGCTCCTGCTTGACAAAAATGTAGCTTGTATTTTATTCTGAAAACTGCACAAAGCCAGTACAGTGTGAGGCCTAAGGGCATGCAAGCAGAGATCCAGATATATATTTTAGGTATATATTCAGTTTCCACTCTGTGAGTAACCCAATAAAATTATCAGAACTATTTTGGGTTGCTTTTTTAGTCAAGAGTCATGTAGTCTCTGCAAGACAAAACCACAATATCAGCAGTATTTTGATAGGAGGCTTCTAGGGGCATAAAGATGGTGACAGAAGTATTGATCATCCTTTCTGCAATGTTTCCACCCTGCATTACTATTCACAGAGCAAGGACCTTCATGACAATACATACTGTACTTGTATGACTCCTTTACAAAAGTCATAAAAATTGAATTGTTCACTACTCTTTTTTTTTTCACTGAGAATAAACTGAGCTTATTAAAATTCTGGTTTAGGTGACGAAAATCACCTTTGCATCAAAAGCAAAAAATACTTGATTTTGTTTCGTTGGACCAAATATAAAAGGGAATGTTTTGGCTCAAGATCAGGATAAAAATAGGTTACTTGTTCCTAAATGGCTATCCTTCTTGCATTATTATTTATCTAATTAGGAAAACAGTTTACTTTTATAAAAATAGCCACTAGTTCAAAACTGGATTTCAATTTAAACACAGCAATGACTTCACCAGGAAGATGAATAATCCTGGCATTTAGGAAATGCTTTAAAAGCCCTACACACTCTGGATGTCAAACCAAAGCCATTGGTGCTGCATTATATTATCAAATTTAGAACCTTTCCAGGAAAGGTAAGTAGGGTAAGATATAAATTAAGATAACATCACTCTGAGAACTAAGATGTTCCTAGAAATTTATACTAAATTTCTTGAGGCCAGTTCATGGAAATTTGTCTCCAGAAACCCATGACGAACACCAGCCTGATGAACATGGAAAAAACTCATGCTCCTAAGGGAGCACCAGGTGGTATTTTCAAACCCAGAAGGGTGACACAGATGCTTCTTGTTGCTTAAGCAAAAACTAGGCATGTCCAAAATTTTTGGAGGTCACACCATTTGGAAGTGTCTGCCACCTCCAACAGAACTGGCACAATACATTCCTGATCAGGACAGCCTTGTCCTTCTTCACCCCCTCTGTGGTGCTGACCTCGCTTCAGAGAGTTTTCCTGTGCTCTTTGCAAAAATCTCTCCATGTCCCTCAAATCTGCCTTCAAAATGGAAACCAGCCTTACCCAATTATCTTTCTACCACTTATCTGCACATTTTAATTTTCACACCAATTTATTTTTCCTCTTAAAGTACTAGTTTAACTAGAAAAAAGGGGCATAGAAGTGGTGCACAGAACTTTATGCTGTTCTCATGATCCTTCTTTTTCTAAGTGTGTTAATCTCTGCCACGCTGGCACAATTTTGGCTATAAATTCTCCAAGCAAGGATATAATTTTGCATTGGTTTTGAAACCATCATGTGCAGTTGTGCTGCTGAAGTAACATGCTGTTCATTAAGCACTGGCTTCAAGCAGGGTGATTTTGAGGTGAGGTGCATCAACTCCAAACATCAATGAGCACATATTACTGACTCGAAGGCATCACACTTCTAATGCTGCTCACCGATTTTTAATGGTGCATCTGGTGCCGGTGTTGCATAGAGTAGATTTTCTGGCTTCAAGTCTCGATGCACAATCCCATTTGCATGCAGATACTGAAAAAGAGAAAGTCAAAGCACGTAAGTGAGAATGGTCAAGCATGAGTTAACATCTCTCTAATTCTCTATTGCATTAGATTAATATATGTTCTGTGTGTGACACAGAGTTACTTCACCAATTTTCAGCAGCTCTTTTTTCTGCAAACTTGCCCACCAAGGATCCTTGGGTTCATACTGTAATCTGAATAGAAAAATAAAATTTTGGAAGGCAAAGGTAACATCATGTTCATCTGGGAACAGAAACATCTCAGAAAGTATCCTTGAATTTTAATACAGCAGTAGCTCCTAAGAAGCAATCTAATAGATGATGAGATGCCAAAGTCTGGCTCAGAGGAAGGTTGTTTCTCCACATTATAACATTCTGAGAGATAGGAAAATGGTCACATAACTATTAAACAATTAAATAGACGTATTCGAGTAGAAAGGATGTAGGTGTCTTGGGCCAACTACAAAATGCTTGGGGTCCCTCGGTGCAGACTTCTTACAAGTTTTAAAACCACTCAGTTGCAAAGCCCCAAAAATCCATCTGTCTTGCCAAAGTATATGTAGTATATGTGAATTGATTCACCACTGAATTCCTGCCTGCACTAATGGAAAGAAAAAATTCTAGAACATAAAGCTGCCATTTACTCTGCTATGAACAGAAATAGAAAAAAATATAATATAAAATATACTGATAGACAAAAAGGGATAAACTAGTGACAGAAATTCTGTATTTCTTATTGATAAAATATTCACACAAAACTCTGAAGTCTTAGAAGATAAATGCTTTAGGGTAGAATCACATTATCCTATTCAAAAGTCTCATATTCTACATTTTAGCAGCATCTCTCTCAGTTGTGTTTTCACTACCAAAACCTCCCAGTGTCTGTGCATATTTATGTGGGAAATGATAAAAGATTGAATATTCATCTAGACCACACAGCTATAATGTGCACCTGAGTTAGCATCTGAGGTGAATTCTTGACTGTGTATCTCATTGAATTTTAGTTCTTATAAATTACCAGTGATTAAATAACTTTAATGAGGAATACATTGCTCTGTCCTTGGGCATTGTTTTAGTGATATTGTGTGCTTTTCATAAGTATTTTTCTCCCAGTGCAATAAGTGTTCTCTATTGACTTTGTCTGTAATCCTAAAGTCACAGGATTTGTCATGATGTGGCTTTTAGAGATAAGCCAAAGACTCTCACCTTATTTCACAGTGAAATTTAAGTGTTTGTCCCAGCTGTTTTCTACAGTGAGATAATTATTCAATTATCCAAAGTAAAAACAGCCAACAACATATGGAAACTGATGGATTGTACACTACTACATCATTTAATGCAGCCACATCTGCATGCCTGCAAACAACCATGTCCACCCTGCATAAAAATACATCTTCATCACACCAGACGTAAGTGTAGCAAAGATGCTCCCACAGCATAGGAGGGGTGTGTTTGACATGCAGAGCTGAGAGTGGCACACAGGGAGCTGGCCAAAAGCCATCAGACTGGGGTGGACAGAAAAATATGTCTGAAGTGGTCTGTGTTCATGTGCTGCAAACCAGTTTAGCTGCCTCTGCAAGAGTGAGAAGAATCAGATATTTCACAACCACTCGATGGAAAACAGACACTTCCAATTCAGCTGCACAAAAAAATCCTTGACCAAATTTGTGCAGAGGAATTTTCCAGCCAAGTTTGCAGTCTTTTAGCAGGTCCTTTTTAACACATGCCCATAATCTTAAAAACATTTTATGCTGTGAGGCTGAAAACATAGAAATTTTCTTCTCTTTCCAGAAACACATTTTTGTAGGAGGGAATTTTGGGAAAAACTTTAGGAGAAGCTGTTCAACTTTTCCTCCCTTATAAATCATAAAATGAGACTGGCTTGTGGAGCTCCTTCTCAGACACAGTAAGAACTATAACTGAGAAAATCTGCTAACCACGCATGTGCCTCATGACTGACTGACTTTTTAAACAACTTGTATTGAACTTGGAGTGTGAACTGGTTTTTTTGCCACAAACTCACAAAAACCCAAGAAGGAATATTTCCCTCCCCTGTTCAGCCTACCATTTGCATAAAACTCACACATGGGGGTGCCCAACAAATAAAAATTGCCTCAATAACTTTACCCATGCCTTTCAAAGATTGTCACTGCAATAATCTGAGCTCTCTCTCTTCCATGTGCTCTCATCACAACACCCGCACCTACTCCCTCTTCACCACACCTCCCCTTATCTTCCCAGCATCTAATTCAGAATTCCTGCCCAGACATAATAACTCCTCTGACATCTCTCTGCAGCCCACAGAGGTCCTGCCCTGGTCACACCCTAAAATCAGTCCTTGCTGTTCTTGCCTCTCTCATCTTCTGTTTCTCCTGCTTGACTTGTTTGCTGGGACAAGACATGCATATGGCATGGGATGCTGCCAGATCCTGCATTTAGCAGACCTACTGTTGGCAGCTTATATCTTTCATAATATGTTAGAATTCTTTGAGTTTTGCCAATAAGGTCAATAGTTTTGTTGTAAACTAGCAGACAGAAGGGCAACATGGATAAAAAAAACCCTGAACCGACAGAACAAAAAACCCCAGTGGTTTTATGGATATGGATATCTGGATATCCCATTCTCCATGGAAGTACCAGCTAGGCTCATAAGCCCCCAGCCCTCTGAAGGGATAGACAACTGGCTGAACTTCTGTAGAAGGTATCTGCATCCAAACAGCCTTGTTAATAAAGGTAAATAAGCAGATGCAGTAACCTCCTGTCCTCCAGCCTGAGCCCCCTTTCACTCACTAAGAGCATGTCCTGCTCCACAACCCCCTTGCAACACTCATTTTCAGCACTGCTGAAAATCTTACTTAGTAGATACCCTGGGACTGACCTATTTCCAAATTTTCTTCAGTCCAAATAGCTCTGCTCTCCATGCAGCATTAAAGCTCTTGGTATTTACAGGACTACTGCTTGGTCTTATATAAACATGAAAAGTGTTCTGAGCTAAAATCTCTTCACTCAAAAACAAGTTTAGTTAAATTAGCATAATCCACTTTGTTTAACACTTATCTCAGTTTATATCTGCTGTATTTTGATTGCTCTCAGCTTATTTCTTGTATATTGATTTTAATAAAAGTTATGTTCCTTTGCATAACTTTGAATACTTTCCCAGTTTGTAGTACAGAGTTGGGCATTGTGCACTTCCATTGTAAGACAGGTAGTCTGTGCTCTACTAATTATGTGCTATGTCTCTTAATGATTAAGTTATGTGCTGAAATGAGAGGATTTGGGCCCAGGTATAATGCCATATCACTCGCATTATGAACCTAGGCATTACTGACTTACATCACTTTCCCCACATAAAACATGTGGATAAGACTTGGAAAATATTTCTATGGCTGGATGCACAGTTTGTAAATGCATAGCACTGCAAAGCAGTTTAACATAGCATGCACATCAAAATATGATTATGTGTACTCTCATAGAATGTGTACTCTCACTGTAGCTAAAATATTCAGTTTTCACTTTCTTCAGATTTTCAGTAGAGAATGCCAGCCAATAAGAAACCACAGAGACCTCTCAGGTAACCTCTTTCAGGGAGAAAAGTTTTATAAAATAATTGAGTAGCACAATCTTTTTACTCTTTGATAAACTTTGAGGTCATACTCGTCATGACACTAGGTCATGTTGAGTCCAACATACAGGCTCTTCTCTGCAGAGCTTGCTTAAAATGAGGCAGCCTTCATCTTGGCCTTTACTCCTGGGCCACACAATAGCAGCTCATGACTGAACGATTTCCATGAATATAACTATGACTGCAACAGAAAGACTTGTTTTTCTTTTTTTTTTTCTTTTCTTTCCCTCTAAGCTTTTTTCCCCAAAAGCTCTCGCTTTGCTGCATGAAAGTTTTTTTTGTTCTTTGTTTTTTTGTTTACTAATTCAGGTACCTATCTAACTTGAAAGATTTTATGACAAAAGGACAAATGTAAATGGCTTAAAACACTGGCCCTATCCCTTAATTTTATTTATGGTACCCATTACACAGAAGTGTAGAAAAGTAGGGCTGTAATGAACCTGAATCATCCAATCCTCTCTATTCTCCCTGGCAGAATCAATTACACGTACAACAGTTGTTTTTGCAATTTATTCCTGCAGACCTCTGCTATTAGAGACTCTACAATTTCCCCAAGCAATTTATTACAGGGCTGTGCTTTCCTGACTGCTACAAAGTACTTCCCTGCAACTCACCCAGATTTTGACAAGAGCAGATGAAGCCCATTGCTTTATTTCCTATATATGGAAGAGGCAGAAAATAGATTATCTCCTTTATTTGCAAGAAAATAGATTATCTCCTTTTGAATACTTGTTACCCTGTACACAATCATTCTTCTCTCTAAGACTGCAGGACTTTTGTTTGGTCAGTCTCTTCTAGACTTGTGGTCATTCTTGTTTTCTCCTACAGGAAAGTGTCAACTTGTACTAATGTATTTGAAAATGCAAAAATGCATTCCTGTAGTTGTGACCTGACAAACTTTATAGAATGTATTAATAAATGTATTTACCATTTTTTTCAACATATACCACTCCTATCTGCCTTTTGATCCAGTGTAACTTTCAAGACCTTTCTCTATTTCTTCTGCTGTTCTTGACTTAACAAAAAGGACATTGAATTTTAGCAAAGTTATTTTATTCCTAATCCCACTCTGCAATATACTTGCAGCTTTCTCCAATTTTATGGTGTACAGAATTTTTATAAGTGGACCTTCTATTCCATCATATGAGGTTACCAACAAAAAACACTACAAAAGCAGAGCAGGTAAGGCTTTTCCTGAACCTCCACTTTTGATCTTCAGATAAGCTGATACACATTCTCTCAGTAGAGACAACCAGTCTCTAAACAGCTTAAAATCACATAACCTTGATAATATTTTGCTAATTTATTGTAAGACTGTCAGATGAGTCAAGTACTGAAAGCTTTACTTTATGTCAAGTAGGTACAATACTTTCTGCTTCTCTCCCACTA